GCAGAAAGCCAGCAAGACTCAGCAGGTTTACTGTATCACAGTCAGTCCAGCAAAACAAGCAAGATGTACGCAAAACTCGCTGTAAGTCTGGTGATATCGTATTATACTTATTTAAAACAAATAAAATTAATAAAAATAATTTCATTTATTACGATTTTAACTAAAGTAAATATCCGATTCAGAGTTTTTTTTGGTATAAAATAGATAATATTCTAAAAGGTATAATATATTCAGTAATAAATTTTGTTTAATAAACATGGTAATGAAAAAAAATATATCTGACAACTAAAATATCATTTTCTTTATTTGTAGCTTCTCGCCGTCGTGATTGCCGTTGCAGTTGCAGTACCCACACCTGGAGGATATGGACAGTAAGTACTAACATTCAACTAATCAATTACAAAACAATAATAAATCAAAATATATTATATTAATTTGAATTAATAAGCAATAGGCTACGTTCATTGTAAATGTCACAAAAATATGTCCATATTTGTGTAATACAGTGAATGGACAAAAAATACTTTTTTATTAGTGATCGTAAACAATTGGCGAAATAAAATAAAAGTACAGAAGCTGAAAGTTGAGATAAAATTATTGTCTGAAGAAAAGAAAACTGTGATTGTAAATATTGAAATACAATTATAAACACCAATGTTAACGATCTCTGTTAATTATTATTAGTATGAATGTTAAACGCGTCGTATGTAATGATATGAATCTATGAAAGCTTTCTAGAAATTAAAGGGTGTGTTTGTCGCGTGTCTGACTTGTTGAGACCAAACATCCGCATTTTATGCTTTCATTTATACCTTTAATACTTTTTGCTATATTAATTTTTATTATTGCATGTCTTAGTATTTATATAAAAAGTGTTCCGTGTTATTTATATAAATCCTATTCTCTTTTTTGCGATGATACGGCGTGTCCCTTTTTAATTTGTTATAAATTTTAATTATAACATTTTTGTTTCTTGCATTCGTATGTACAATTACTAAGTCTATGGATCTTAATTGTGCTACTTATTAGCCGATCTTTCATCCTTGGCAAGGATCTAGAATAAATAGATGACTTTTAAAGTATATTTGCGATAATCCTAATTTGCATTTATTACACTCCTGCGGCTATTAATTATTTCTAATTCTTGCATTTCTTTTGAAGAAGATAATAGTTGTAGATATATATATATATATATATATATATATATATATATATATATATATATATATATATATATATATATATATATATATATATATATATATATATATATTTTAGGTTTTTACCTAAATTCCGAGACCGAAATTCCCGGTAAAAACATATTGTTATCACTGTTTTCTCAAAGATAACAGGGATGATTTTGTTTGATACAAAAATTTTGATCTCAGAAACCAAGAATTAGAAATCTAACGTATGTGTTTAATGATTGATAGACGGTACACAGTTGGTCCATGTCAATCTAGTAAACCGTGGGAGGCGACGTTAAATTATAATTCATGTATTATAGTCGCCCGGAAAGATCCGTGAGAAATGTACTTCAGAATTACAGGAAGTACAAAATAAAATTGAGGCACAAGCCTTTGTGTATTCATAATTACGAAGAAAGTCAAAACTTAAATGTTTTATTTATTATCACTTTCAATGCCATTGACTCGCCTTGCAAGTTCACTTTAAAAGTGAAAGTAATAATTAATTCTAATTATTTAAAAACAAAAATGTCGTATATCGATATTTTATTATTGTTTTTAATTTTAATTCCTTCTCTGCTATTAACTAGCTGTCGCGAGTTCGTCCGCGTGAAATGAAAAAAAAACTTTTTAAACCTTCCCTAGACCGCTACGAACATTTTAAGGCCAAGATAAGATAAATCCGTTCAGCCTTTTCCGAGTTTTAGCAAGACTAACGAACAGCAATTGATTTTTATATATATAGATTATATTCCCATATAATTATTTCCTTTCCCCGCCCGTTGCTATGGTCCTCCAGGTGAAAGGCTCCACATGGCTTTATTTATGCTTACCGCCTCTGTTAAACATTTTACGTAACCAAAAGCGTAAGTATTGCGAATGCAGATTAAAAACAAGAGTTGTCGCAATTTAAACGATGCGTACGCGCTCTTAATATGCACCGTTTACGAGCTGTTTAAAATTCACACTTACATAAATGTGACGCGAATAATGTTATAACAATGTTAGTAAAAAAGACCAAGCAAGTGTTCGTGAGTAATGGATACTCAAGGAAGTCTTTTTGCAAGAAATCCAATGCATAATACTCTAGTTCACTGATATTAACACCTTTGGTAGAGTCATTCATACATACAAAATAATAACTCTATTTGTAGCAGATTAACTTAACTAAAATATAAATGAAAATGAAGGTCAGCAAGATTTTTACAAAAAAATATAGTATAGAAAAACTATAGTAGTTAAACTTAGAGTCGAAATAAATCAAGCTGTATAATTCGCCAAGCGCTAGTACATAGTAGTCTAGACTTCCGATATAAAACGGACATGTACCACTTTCTTCCATATGTATGATTTACGTGGTGAAACAAAACTTCAATCGTATTTGTTACATATTGTTATGTAAGCGGGATTAATTGGACTGGCCCGTATCAAATTCTCGAACTGGACGGATGAAAGTAGGCCTATGTAACTGCAACGTTAACGACGTAACAATTAAACTTGTTATGATAGTTTTCATTTAAACAGAAAGGTATTTTTTGCTCATATTAATTAACGGTATTTTCCATTCATATGTCTAGTTTTTAAATTAATTAAAGTATTAACGTTTGTTGCCTCCAATTTTTTTTATTCAGTTAATATATTTAAAACACTAGTTGACTATCAGGAACTTACACTTTTATATGATAATAATAAAATCAATTAGTCTAATCTTTTATTATATGATTATTATATACTTAAATATGTATTAGTGAAAGACGAATAACAGCAAGATTACATGTGTTACTCGTCCAAATATAAATGGACAAACTTAATTAAAACAAATTCTATTTAAATAAAAAAGTATTTTTGCATTTGCTGAAGGACCTTATGTCATAGCGATTGCATGATATATTCATTTCTGAAATTCCCATGAGCGACCTCTTATCCGACGACAATGCATGTCCAGTCACGGTCGTTCTGCGAATAAATTGCGATGCCACTTTCACTGCGCCGATAATGTGAAGGAAATGTCAGGTTTCCTCGAATGATATGCCATAAGTTTCACATAAATCATGTAACATCGTAATGGCATCGCTTGGAGCATACATTTCTGAGTAATATTGTTATCAGAGTAATCATATCGTTAACGAAGTACCGCCATTATATTGTTTCATTTTTTGTTATTCGTGTATAGAGAAGGGGTAAAATATGAGGCCTTCGAAATGTGATTCGACTAAAAGGGAGTAAAAATAAATACAATTTTGGTCATTGCATGTGCTTGGAGGTTAGAATTTTAGAGCATTTTGAAAATGTAGTGTAGACTGTAGCGCAACATTTATTAAATTATACGGATGGTAATATTCGATAACTACGTTGGGGCAAATTATAAACATTACGCATGACGTAATTTGCAAGCAGTACCCACGATATAATCTTACATAATCATAACATTACTGCAAGTGATCTTGATGATCGTGTAATAGTTAATTTGCCACTACTAAAGTGTGTCTTATCTCATTAAAGAACACCTACTTTTCATAGTAAGTTCCTAGATTTCGTATAAAAGTGCTATATGTTAACATAATATTTTTTTCAACAGCCATAAGCATGTGACGATCCACGTGCCTTACAAGATCCACACAATTCACCACCACCACGTCTCCAAAGTACATGTACCAGTGCATGTGCCTGTTATCAAGGAGGTGCCCGTAATCAAGGAGGTGCCGATTTACAAGCACGTGCCTGTGCCCGTGGTGCAGCACGTGCCTGTGCCTGTCATCAAGAAGGTGGAGGTGGAGAAGCAGGTGTTCGTCCCGGTACATGACCACCACGAGGAGCATCACGGATGGGAGAGCGAGTCGCTGTCGCACGGCTGGCACTGATTCTCTTTACATATTAGATTAGGATTAGGTGAGAATTGTGTTCCTCATCAATGAAATATAATAGATAACATACCTTATAATAGATTGTTAGTTATAGATAGATTTAATATTAATTAATTGGTTCAAATTTCGAAACATTCAGATAATAAATATTGCCATCCCTTTTATTTCCTTTCATAAAAATGAGACAACGAAATATAACATGTATTTGAGTATTTTATTACATTTGTAGCGGTATTGTTAGACATACAAACTTCCAGTCATAGTACAGTTATTTTGAGCTATTTAATGCGCTGATGCTCGTTTTACTTCTTTCACAATTTCATATGAAATATTTGATTAAAATCGATTAATATTTTTCTTTTGTTTTCAGGTTTTATTTTAAGTACAAACCAAGACCTCGTCGTACTTACAACTGTGTAGAGTATACCCACCAGTGCAGATGTTACACCCACTTATAGATAGATGAAATGTTACCGTTATTTTTTAAATGTAAGAACCAAAGACAAAATAAATGAATGTTGAATTCTAACATATTATTTTCTTCCACGTTCCTTTACCATCAACGCATAATCTAATAAATGCATCCTTGCCAGTAATTTTATAATACAATGTACTTTTGGATATCGTTTTAACATAACCAAAAGTGCTGTTACCTTACTTTAGAATTTATGAATTTAGATCAGTAAAAATTAATCAAACTGATTTTCACAATGCATCCCTAATTAAGTTTGTTACCGACACCTATTTATTATTGTTTCAAAAATAATGAATCAATTGCTAGTTTACCTCTTTCTTCCAATGCCTCATAGACCAAGTGCTTGGTTTGGCATTTCGGGCTGAAGGGGGCGCTTATCACTAGAGTGAAAGTTCTTCTAAATAACATAATAACTCATGGTTGTTTAAAGATTTATTAATTAGTTTTCTTATAAACAGTTCATAGTATTTTAAATATAACAACATGACAGACATCAACACTTAATAATATATAATGCATCCAAATATATGTATAAATAAAATTAACGGACAGGTTTGTTGAATTCCCTAACAACATAACATGCACATTCGTAAGTTGTGAATGCTACAATACTCGTTAATTGTGATTTTAAAACTGTCACTAGCCAACCTTGATATAGACCACTAAAACCCTCCTTTCTAATTATATTTCTTATGCATGTTAGAAAACTAGTGCACCGAATTAGATGACGAGATGTTACGCTAGTGGTGAACCTATCATCTTCTTTGTGAGTCTGGAAATAATTTTAAAGGATTACATAAAAGTTAAATCAGGACATCGTAAGAAAAAGGTACGTTACTCACTCCAATTTGCAGTCGCCGTTTTACTAAGTCTAGCGGATACGTAGCAGTTTTTGAAACAAAGCCCGCCGTAGATCCAGCGATCATGCTTGCGACGACCACATGAGATGGCTTATAGTCAGTATTGAGAGCATCATCACGATCACGACGTTGGCCCAATTTTTTCAATAGCAGTGGTTGCATAAAGCGAAACACTGAAAATGACAGACCAACAGAGGGCCCGTACTGAAAATATTAACCAAAGATGTTACATGTATTCATGTAGTAATCAGGGGCTTAAAAGTGAAGCCACCTAAAGAAACACTAGATAAATTCGTGCAATCATGCGGGCGACTAATTCAAAATCTCAGAATTTGTAATTCAAAAGAGTTTGGACTTACTACCAATATATTGTTTTCATTAAGCGGCACACTGCTTCCTATGCTTGATAAACAAACCTTAAACGTTTATTTTGTAACTCGAACTTATATAGTAAAAAAATCTACGTTGATACATAATTTATTTGGTGTTACTTTACATTTAACAACTACAAAAATCTTACTTGTATAAGAGAAGCTGATAGACCTTCGTAGAAAGCAAGAATGCCTCCCGCTTTGTATACGGCTTTTGCTCCGTTAAGTATTCCCTTATACTGTTCTTTGGCAATCATCTGTCTTACTCTGATCACTTCTAGAGGCAGAGCGACGGCGCCTGAACAGCACCCGGCTATGATGCCACTGAAGAACAACATTGCGGGCCTAAAATTTTAAAAATAAATATGTATGTATCGGAATGTTCTCGTAATGAAGATTAAAAACAATCAGAAAGCAAGAAGAAATAAAAAGCGCCTGTCAAAATATTACCCAATAAACACAATGATCTTGATGTTGATTCGTTCATTATATTTTTTCAAAGTAAATACAAAAATAAACAAAAAAAAGTTTGATGCTATACTTACATATGTTTCTCATTTATTCCTGAATTTACAACTTGTTTTGATACTAATTCATATATGAAGAACTGAGTACTAACGGATAAGATAGAATGTACCTAAAATTGTTTTAAACCATTAATGCCGAATATTCAAACTTCATGGTGGCTGTGAATTTCGTATTAAGGTATATAAAAATCCATTTTAAGTATCGGAACATTTTAAGTATCGGTAAAAGCGTAGTTTCCTACATCTGTAGTGAGACTATTTTCTACCCAATGGCGCATAAGTGCGCTTACATTTAAACACGAACCGTTAGCCTTAAATGGACAATCACTTACATTTATGACTTGTTAAAACGTAAGTAACTTTTAATATACTTTTCAGTAGGCATTAGAACTAACGTAAATTCAGTTCACTTTAAGATACACTAATCTAGATTCTCTACCAAGTCCAAGCTTAAAAAAAGGTGTGGATATAAAAATACCTGTCCAATATAATGTCCATGAAAAAAAGCTTTAAAGCCTTCTTCTTCCAAAATTTTCCTACTCATTTGGAACATACTAAGGTGCTTTATATGTTTTCTTTTTTGTAGTTGTGTTCTTAATTTTATGATGTCGACGGGTTGTGTGATCAAGCGCGTTATGATGCCAGTGAAGCACCCAACAGCAAACTTCTGACTATGAGTGAGGCTGTCATTGCGTTGGTAGCCCACCATTGTAGACTACACAGCATCATTAAAATCGGTTGCTTTCATTTTTCTCTTAATCATATCAGACCCATGGTAGACCTGATTGAGATTTTTTTTGGCACAGATTTTAACTAAAACTGAAAATTAGCACATTTTTGACATTTTGTGACTTTTATTTGACAGATAAAGTGATTTGTTGCTTTATGGTGGTTACCATAAATATATATTTTTTTATAAGAGCGGGGGGGCAGGCGAGCGGCGGGAACACCGAGGTGATCAACGACACCCATGGACATCTGCAACACCAGAGGAACTTCAGATGCGTTGCCGGCTTTTAAGGAAAAGAAGTGTAAAAGAATATAAGAAATTTTTGAGTCTTACATTACAAAATGCGGCTCACTGAAATTTATAAATGGATAGACGATTGCTTGCAAAATACAACTCTTGCCTCGTTCCGATTTAAATGCGCCTGTTGTTGTTACGTGATACTTAAATCTATCTGTATTATAAGTTTAAATCCACATTACCGCTATAAACCAATCATCATCACCAAAACTGAAAAAATAAAATAGCCACAGAATATCACGGTTTATAACCAATCCATATATAGAGGTCAGTGGCCTGGATAGAAAAAATCATTCGTACAGTACGTGCATATATAAATCCGGGTTCTGATCCCATTGTCTCGTAATCACATAATCGATTAAACGGTAGGGTTTGTAAAAATATACGTTTTTGTTAAAGTTATCGTTATAATTAACCATAACGAATACTTTAAACGATGATTTGATGCAACTCACCCTTAAAATGATTGTATATTTGCTCTCTTAATTTAAAGGAAAAATACTAGACATTCAAGATAAACATAAATTATTATTAAATATTGAAAAAGTGAATTTTTAATTAAAATCCAAAGTAACCAATATAATAAGTGTTAAAATTATCTTATTAGGTACGTTATCTATAATTATGGACGATAAACAAAAAATAAACAGTCACATAAGTATTATTTTATTTCGCTCTATTTTTTTAATATCAGTACATCGTTAACGTAGAATATTTCGCTTGTGCAATGTTTTCATGCTCCAATTTCCTCAATAGTTACTCCTCCTTTAGCAACATTGTAAGGAAGTAAATCATAAAAGGTCAAGAAAAATCTGTAAGGGACGAGCATATTAAAAATTAAATATACCTATATATAGTTTTAACAAATAACTATTGTTTTAACGTACCTGTGGGGTTTGACTTTAAGTTCCTTTTCCAAGTGTTTGGACAATTCTCTAACGATCTCTTTATTCTCATTCGGACCGAGATTACCAATAGATTCTAAGGTAGCTATAACACTTGGCTCTGACGATTCGCCGCCGAACGACATTTGACAATCTCCTGTTGTTACACATATAAATTTCTGTAAAAAAAATAAATGCAATATTAGAAACAAACATCAAATATTATAGGGAAAATGACATAATGCCGCAATTCATTGGTAATTGAATAACTCATACTTACGTTATTATCTTTCTTTACCGCTTTTGCAAGAACTGGTATTATTTTATCAACAAAATCCCTTGGTATTTTATAACTGGAGATATTTGTATATATTTTTAAACACGGCATTATTCCGATATCAACGTACTACACAGCGCAAGTCTGAGTAACGATAATGAAACTTTGTATGAAATGTCAACTTGTTTTATCAACTACTGAGTTGTTTACGTATTATACAATGCAATGATTAGACTTGTTATAAATACGCTTAATGTTTGTATAGAGGGGGTTCAATGTTAAGTAAATAAGATATGACATTTGTTTTTCTCAAAATTAATTGTTTACGTAGTTCACCTTCATATGTTCTCTATTATTAGATTATGACCGACCGGGCGTTTTCTTATTTTTGTATAGGTGTTATAACAGTAGGATCATGGTAACAGTATTCTTCTATATAACTACTATTTGAATGTGGGATAAAAAATCGATGAATCAACAAACTTTAATTAGTTTTATACAAAACATGTTTTTTCTCTGATCGTTATAATATCTAAGTATTGGACCTATTGATGATAGTTCTATTTAAGTTGAATGCCATATGGTTATTTTCTAAACTGGTAAAATTTGGTATAAAGGCAAGTTACATTTGGTTCTTAATCTTATTTGTGTGACAAGTTTGTACCGTCCGCAAGACCAGAACAGCTATATTATTTAAGTAAATAAAGTCAATATTTATGTTGTGTATTTATCCTTCAAATGTTTCCAAACGTATAGAAAGCTTATCACCACCTCAAAGGCCGGCAACGCATCTGCGGTTCCTCTGGTATTGCAAATGTCCATGGGCGTCGTTGAACACCTCGGTGTTCCCGCTGCTCGTTTGCTCCTTCTGTTATAAAAAAATAAATGTTTCTGATGAATCTTTACTTATTTTACGCTAAAAATTATATGTATTTAGTTGTCTTGTGGTCACGTTGATGAAGTAATAGGTGTTCCAACGACTCTAGTGGTTTGTTTTATTATAAAATAACTGATAAATAATTTGTTTATTTTTTTTGCAACAAAGTTACAAATACTAACGATTGACATTGTATCTTATCAAAGAGCGTTTCTGTTGATTGCTAAAATGACTTTGCTTTGTGACATATCACTTTCATTGTCATTGGTAGAAATTCGAATGTAAATAAAAACAATACACTTGTGGCTAAAAAGGACAAAGTCCCACTCTCTCGTCAAAATTGTTATACCCGTGGGTATAGCACGAATAATTGCGATAGGCGTTTTCATATCATCATCGTCAATTATGTCTTAATTAGTACGATATTTTTGGTGTACTTTACGCTCGATAGGAGCCCGAAGCAAATTATAAATGAATAATTAGCGCTGCGCCGATGATGATACGACGGCGGTTGTTACAAATTTTCGTGTGAAGCCCACCGTACAGAATACATATAATCACATGTGAAAGAACATACAAATTAAACTCTTCCATCCAAACATATTTGCATACCCGCCAATATAATTACTGATAAATCAATATTTTACTTTTAGACATGCTGCCATCTATGTTAGGAAATGATAATTACAGTGGCGTCAAAAAAAGCTTGCGTTGTGTTGTCCATTGCATTAAGAGATGGCGCTGTAGTTGTTTTCAGAAATCTAAATTACCACAGAACTATGAATAACTTCTCGCTCAGAGTTAAAATTATATTCTTCATATTAGTAGTTATTAAATATTGTAAAAATACTTATTGGAAAACTAGAATGCTATGTTAGGATGTTTGGGAATATATATTTTTTTATTTCATTACAATTGAAATAAAAGAGCTCTATTTATCTAATCTTACATAGAATCAAGAAATTCTGAAACTTGCTTTTATTATGGCGAACGTAACTTTTATATGTGAGCATATGTACGGTAAGTAAAAGCTTTCATAGAAACTTATTCTGAAAAATCTTGTGTTACCAGTAGCCCCTTGAATTCAATAAATAATACCTCATGGTGTTGTAGTGGACAGTAGCCTACAAAAAACAACATAATATGAGACCACTGAGTGATTTAGAAGATTTTCACGATAATATCGGATGTATAGACCAACAAGGCTATCATAACCGGTGGACATAAATTAAACTAAGTTATGATAGCCTAGTGGTTCCCCCACTCTGTAGTCAAAAAATGTCACAATATTGCCTTTGTACCATAGCGGTCATGTCATTTTTTATACCATTTTCTATGTCTAAGTAGCTTTTATATGTATTCTCATAGAATGTCTAGAAGTAACGAAACAAACGCGATAGCAGCGCCTCTTATCGGTACAGATGTCCTTGTTTAACTATAATTACAATTTTCTCTTAAACACAAGTATAAGTTTATTAAATAGAAACCAAGGCATGGGTTATTTATTTAACTCACCATATTTAACCAGTTTAAAAAATGAAGGATTGTTTTCTTAGACGATGATAGAAAAAAGAAAAATGTTGCGGCACCCATGACATGAAGATAAAACTACGGTCGGTAAAGCAGTACACCGCAACGCTTGGTGGGGGATTGTTGTCTAAGTTGGAAATAGAAGTGTCAAAAACATTAAAATCACAATTTTGTCATAGTTTTAAAAATTTAATTAAATTTAAGTAAACAGGACACAAATACTATAAACAATTATGAAACCGGTTTAAGAGTGATTGTAAAAAAGGTGTGTTGTTAGTTAATGTGATTGTTTATTTTCATCAAACAGGTAAGTTTACTTAGATTAACTTGAATTTAAATTTATTCGTGTATAAAATAACTTTGATTTCGTGAAATTCATATAGATATGTTACACAAATTTATAAATCATTTATTTAATTCAATACAGTGGATATAAAAGTAAAATAAATAAACATTTCAATTTATTCGAAATTAATTTGTTATTTTATTATTATTGAAATAAAAAATGTTGAATAAATATGAAAAAAATTATATAGTTTGTATGATTTTTTTTCATAAAGATTTCAATTTTATACAGTAGCCTAATATTAATATGTGTAATACGGTACACGACGTAAAATAATATTATTTTTATTTTAATTGTAAAAAGATACATTTTATTTGAATTCTGTATTTTCTTTTTGGGGGAAATATTAATGCTTTTTCATAAATTACCAATTAGTCTAAAAGCTATTAGTGAAAATTAAAAAATTTCATTCTTTCTTCGGTAAATTGGTTTCTCGCGAAAAGTTCCGAGTAAAATAAGCGGAAAATACTAATGTGATAGTGGCGCTTTTACTTTGTAACTTTATTATATTTTTTATAACGATTAGGATTTGAATTTGATTATGTGAAGACATAGATATATAATTAAGTAATTCTTGAATCTGTTAGTCTTTCAAAAAAGGTTCTCGTAATAATAGTGATCTCACAAAATAATTTTGTAATGGATCGCTTGACAAGGTTGTACAATTTTGGCGTTGACTACTTTTACGGGTATAAACATCGCTAATGTCTGATTTAGTCGGATGCCTGAATGAAATTGCTCTTAAAAAGAAACGTAACATGTTAATTAACGCGGAGTTTTTAAGCTTCCATTTTAGTTATGATGTGATATTTATTTTTATGAAAGCCTTTAAGTGTAAGTTTTATATTAAATGTTAAGGAACTCTGTACCCATATTATAGACATTATATTATTGTCTAAATAGCTTTAAAGGCTTAATAAAAGGAGGAGGAGAAGAAAATGAAGAACATCTTCCTTCACCTTTAGGTGAACAGTAATTCGCGTATAGATCAAAATTGGATTACTTTTGAGAATATCGTGAAAAATGATATTTACATTTTATTTAATTGATTAATCATAGTCTCGTAACCGACTCGTTTTAAAATCGATTTTTCTCTCATAACAGATGACAATCGTTGGATTGTTTTAATATAACCATAACCACTATTGTATTTATTAATAGGGTAAATATTAACACGCACTTATTCAAACGATTGTATTAGTTCCATGATAACGATAATGTGATGATATTAGGTGTATTTCCAATACGTAAGAAATAATCATAAAGAAGTGAATCATTTATATAGAGTAATCGAGGTACATATTTAAACATATTTGTTGTTTTGTTTTTTCGTTTTTTATAAAAAATTGTTACTTCAACCCGCACTAGGCTAGCGTGGTTGATTAAGTCACCCTAAGTTAAGATCGGTTTCAACCCCTCGGTAGGGACGTATGCGATCTGACGCGGATCTGTTAGTAGTAACCATTTTAGTCGAATTTTAGCCGTTCACTTTACTAGGTGCCGGGTAGGTTTCCGTTTTTTCCTTTCGAGGTGCTCTAAAAACAATTAAAAGACTTGTGTTTATAACAGAGAAAGATAAATTGAAGTAAAGAAATATTAGCCTACAATTCACGGAAGATTTTTCATTACTTCTAATTTTTAGATTTTCATGTTAACTTATTATTTTCCTTTCGAATATTTCAGACAAAAATAATACTGACTTGAAAATATATTTCGTGGCGTAAAAAATTTAATTTTGTATGAAATGAAGGAAAAAGTAATGTATCTTTTAAGTTTACACGTGAAAACGTCTTTAATTTTGCTGAAACTGGTCTATTGAGTAATATTGCAATAATTCTATTATTTGTTTTCTTTGTTTAATTGCCGAAACACATGTATGAGAAATAATATCTCTGTATCCACAAAGAATATGAAAGTGATAACAATAAGTGAAGTCAAACAAATTTTAGTAATTGATTTTTTGTCAGCAACGCAAATTGTACCAAAACATACTATTTTTATATTACATATAGATACTCCAATTTTTTTTAATACGTGTCACGAAAGTCGAATGCACATTAAATACATTAAAAATATTTATCGATTATAATTCCTTTAATGTATTCAACAAAGATATTTCAAGAACAAAGAAATTGGAGAAGAGAGATGTTCATAAAGTTTGGATAGTAGAATAAAGGTCGTATTAAGTTATGCACATTCCCTACCTGAGAGCACTCCTGCTGTCGCGAGACATGTAACCGTGACAAAATAACGATACCCAGGACTTTAATGCCTCGACTCAACATTATAATTAAACAATAATCTCACTCCTAAAACTTTGTTTAAATTGATTTCGCTGTGGTCACCCCTTCGTCCACGCTATAGCCCGCGGTACGTTTTAATTTTCATATTGTTGAAATTACATCAACGACCTTTCATCATATTTACGTTTAGTTAGATTGACGTGCGTTTCGATGTTCGTTCGGAAAGTGAAATGTTACGAGTTGGTTCTTAAATGTATATGATATAGGAATTGGTTTAAAAAACCAAGAGACCACAACATGCAATTACTATGATGCAAATGTGAAGAATATATAAAACTCTCAAATATATTACCCAGCTGTCTGTCAAGGCTGTCCGTCAACTTAGACAAATAATTTAAAATAGTTATCCATTATTGTATGTAATTAGTAGATGTAAATTTCAATTAACTTATAATCGGTTACGTACTTTATCAGTTGCACTTTGCTCAATTTGGAGTCTTATAACTCTAGATTTAGATCATAACATTACGGGGAATCTTAATTTTTTTTATCTAAAAGCTAGATTATGTTATCAATGTTAATCATCTGTTAGGCCGCTATCTAGTGACTTATCTGCGATAAGTAATTTATTATCAAGTGTTAATGAGAAATAATAATTGTTACAATTAAATAAAGTGTGTACATGTCGTTTACGCAACTGTTAGAGACGACAAATAATATAATTTATCATTTTAGTTTTAGTTAACCTTGTTACAATTTTTAGTTCAATGTAACTTCTTATTTAACATTCTAATTATACATAAGTGGTAGCCAATTTAACTTTATACTAATAAATTAATAATTACAGTAAAATACCGCTTATATTGACTGACTGTTTTTTTATCAGTTAATTATTTATATCAATGTCGGTTATATTGACTGGCTTTTAGAACATGTCGCTTTTTGTGACTCAATACATTGTGACCGGTTATAGTGACCGACATGATTCCTAACTGGGTTCACCGCAGAAGAGGGATTGAAGGAAGCAGAATTAATTGGCGATATGTTTATGACAGTAATTTGACGTTGGTGATGATATATCTTTTTTACACAATAAAATTAGATAAAGTATATAATTATATGAGAAAAAGATAAAAGCAAAAATGCATTACCTATTCCTTATGTAAAATATATAGTTACTACGTGCAATTTTATTTGCATTTATCTCTATTTTGTATGTATGAAAATAAATACACACACTTAAAACAGGATCAGTTTACTTTTTACATAATATTAGAGTTTACACACACACACATACACACACACACACACACGAAGATAAAGTATATAAAACGATAAGGTGAATTACCAACCTTTATGCTTTATTTATTCAATGATGATACATAATAAAGTAATTTAACTATCTTAGTTTTAACTCGTAAAGGCTTCAATGTATAAAATGCCATCTTGTAGAAATGTTACTGGAAAGTAATCGAATTTGTTTTTACCCGCGATTCCTTCCGCGCGGAATTAAGAAAATATATCACGTCCCACCGAATCCGGATATATAAGTATCCTTCCTATATCCGTCTCCTGGTTCTAACCTCCCCACCAATTTTCAGCCAAAACGGTTCAACTGATCTTGAGACGAAAGTAAAATGATTCTAGGCACTTGATATTTCGCACAAATTTCTGTTACTTAGTAGGCACGCAATGAATTGTTTTTAATCGTTTTCTTGTATAAGAGCTATATGAGTGAAATAAATAAGATTGACCACTCCACGACTCTATTGCCTCTATCTTTACAAAGTCTATATACATGTAGGTATGTATATAACACGACGTTTTGTGTATTAATTCGTCCAATATGCGATTTGACGAGTCTTAACAATACGCCTCGGTAGCGAAGCGACGGGCGGCGTTCACAAGTTGCTTATGACATATAGATAAAACTGTCTGTTAAATGGAATATTAAGACCATCTATAACTGAGAAGAGCAGGCAGACAATATATACTTGAGTATTGGCAAACAAGATATAATGTAGGCCTGTTTAAGTCTATCGGACTGATCGTGGGCTTCTGACAATAAGATCTCTATACAAAATATGTCGTCATCCCTGTCTTTCATCTTTTACAAAACAGTGATGGCAATATGTTTTAAACTGAAATCTTGGTCTCAGAAACCCACGGTTATTGCTACTTACTTACAAATCCGTACGAATATAATTCTACAGAAAAGTATCTTTTCTACAGAGAGTTCTTAAAACATTATTAATGAGTTAGTTAATTAATATCATGATTTGCATAGATTATTAACCGATTGTTAATAATTACAAGATTTTGAAAAATGAAATAATAAATTTATTACTCTAGGTATTCTCAAGAATGTGTTCTCAATTGGGTTTCGAACATTTTATTTCCCGCGGGAGTTGTAAAGTAAACTTGAAAAGTTAGTTATTTACCTTTGATTTGTTGCTGTTTCGAAAATAATTGTTATTAACTAGCTGTTTTCACCGACTTAGACCGCTTGGAATTTTATATTCCGAAATATATTTTCTAACTTTTATTTATACCTTTAATGGGCATATTTGTAAAAAAACACTATTCACTGAATTACTCATTTTTGCCCAAAAAGGGATTTTCTTTCAATTTCAAGTTATTCTGGTCAAGAAATATCGTTGTTTCATACATATTATACTTTTTGCCGGAGCCCCCACTTTATACTATTAGGGGATGAATTTCTGCAAAAACTCATAGTGCCCACTCCTAGCCTTAATTTTAAGTGTTCTCGGCCCCATATCTACGGTGGGAAAATTAGATCAGATGCTACCTTTGTCTCTGTTTTGACCTTAAAAAGGCATATTAAAAAGAGCACGACATACGTAGTTAATTATATTTACTGAAAATTATTTATTCCATTTTCAATTAATTCTGCTGAAGGAATAACTTTGCTCCAATCACACTTTGGACTCTTACTTAAGGCCTTGGGAGATGATTTGTAATAAATTGGAAATATGTAAAATAATTCCTTAATGCTCACCTACTTAGAAATAGAAATCCCATAACTTCAAGGGTATAGGCCTAATAATCTCAGGTCTGCGTTGATATATTGTTCAAAGGTTGTGAATCGCGCAATAGTAACAAACGACGATAATTAAAAATAAAAAAATAAATCAGTAGTGATATTAATTTGCCAGCATAATGAAAGTTACAGAATGTGTACTCGCCTCAATGATTTTGTGTGAACTTTGCACTTTATTCGGGAGCACACCGAGAACTACTTGTTAGTGTTGTTAAAGGTGGGAGGGTCCATCTCGTCGTTACCCCTGGATACGAGTGCAACGGCTGCCATTGTACCGATGCTGACGCGGGCACATCCCACACAACCTTCCCCCCTACCCTAGGGCATATTGCGCAGGTTCCGTTCAGGATCTAACGGGAAGCTGCCTTCGCACCACTCAGAAGCAGTTTAGATCTAGTGTTGACAACACGTCATAAATAACTCTTCCATCCATCACTTAGTGCGAATCGTTTTGAATAGACAGGTAAGAAGTTTTACATAAAATAAAAATTAATAAAAAATAAATTAAATTTTGTAAAAAAAATAATATGATAAAAATAATTTGAGTGTTTTTTAAATTTAAAAAATTTTGTTTTTTCAAATAAAATATTTTTTAATTTTTGGACTTGAGTTATTTAGTTAAATTTTACTACTGAATTTTTTTAATGAAGTAAAATTGTCTTATTTGCAAATAATAATTTTATTAAATAACTATTTTAGCGGAATCAAATCTGCCGCAAATTGTTTAATCGACGATGAACTCTAATTGAGGAGAACGGAGGAGCTACTTAGACGATTAATGTTTGTGTTAATAATGTTTTGAAAATTTTCCTAAGTTTAACACAAGTAAGTGGATATTCAATTTTGTAATATTTATTGCTCTTTATCCCATTATTTAAAAATATTAGTTCTGCTTAGAATCATACGTAATTCTATATTTTTATTTGTATTTATTGCCTTTTATTTAGGTTGCGTATATCATAATTTGATTTTAAATTTCAATTTTTTATCGTCATTATAAAAGTGAAGAAAAAAATATGACCTAAGTTTTTCACTTTTAAAGTATTAGATCGAACGCGGCAGTATTAAAATATATTTTAATATAATAATGATTACAGTAGTTCATTAGATATGCATAATGAGACGGTAACTTAAAACATTATTCGTTAGTTTCGTTTGTCATTGTCTACGTCGCCGTGGCAGTGTGGTAATTCCCCGGTTTAGTCGGTCTTACGAGGGAAGTTGCCTCAGTTTGCTCCATGCGTGTTTCATGTCTCATGAAAAATGTTAAGATTGTCAATGGCTTTTTATAATTATTGACCATAAAATATATATAATATATATCGAAAGATATTTGCTATCGCCTATGTGTATACGTAATCAGAAATTAGAAGTTGTTAATGAAATATTTTGAGCGCTCACAGCACACTTACGCGCTACTATTTATTAGGTTTTTAGATAAATTAGTATACAGCCAATGGCATACGAATGTTTTGTTTATAAATGTTGCGAAATGTTACCTGGGGAACTATATTATGCGATGCGAATGAGATTTAGGGAGAGTTGAAGTTTTTTCTACTATAATAAACTTGGTCATCATGTATTGATTTATCCATTAAATATGTGAATATTAGCTCAGATGTTTTCATACTATTGTATACTTCACAAACAATAGAAGTAATTATTACCGTCGACTACGAAGGTTAAAGGATGGTTAGGAAAACGGTGTTGGCAATATTTAACTGTGTCGACATGACATGCCAATGGCGAATCAATTCGCTATCGACTTTATATATTTTATATTTCATTCATATCACTGTTTGAAATTTAACTTCTTAGGAAAAATACGTTCATAATAAGACTTGTTACACACTGTCGCGATCTGCAACTGAAGCGAAGAAACAAACGCGAGAAAGACTAAACCTGAAAGATATGAAAAACGAGAATGGAACACAATAAAAATCGTATTGCAAAATTGCGCTGGTAGCGCCAATGAATCTATTTTATTTTAAAAACGAAATAATAGAAATAAAGATTTACGTTCAATTAGAAATATTTAATTTTAATGTACTACTAAAGGAAAAACCAATGTTCGTATCTTTTATTGTAAAAGAAGAAAAAAATCGTACAATGTAATAAAAAAATGCATTCTGACTCAAATATTGAATCAGAGTAGGATGAAATAAATTTTCTGCTTCGCCTTTTTACTGGATTCTCGTATTTCATTATCTGCACTATGGATTGATTCAATAGTCGCGTAAAAGTCGCTTCAACTCAATTTTCATATTTTAATCTACAGCGTGTTCACAGGTTTGATGTTGTTGGGGTGAATATTAATGAAATATTACGTTCTCAAGTATCATGGTAGTATTTGTATTGGCCGTTATTTTATATTTCTCAATTATTTAGGGATATCTGTAGTTGTATAAAATATTTAAAATTATGTGTTTTATAACGTGCAACATTTCGAGACAATTTTAGACAGCGCAAGCCGACGAAGACATAAGAACGTCGGAACTTATCACGTTTTTGACAAGAATCCGAATTTTACCTTAAAAGTTTTTCAGAATGTCGAAACCTTTACGGAACTTTTATTTTACCTTTCGTATTGTTGGAAAGAAAAACTTTTGTAATGTTTTCGGTTCACTTCAGTTGAAAGTGAATTTAAGGTTTCAAAATGTTTATGTTCCGAATGGCGTCTACTCTCGCATTTTGAAATCGCGATTATAAAATATATCAAATAGTTAGTTGAAATTTGAGTTTTAATATGAGCAATCGGGCACTTGTGTAGTGAGGAACAAAACGTGGGATACTTTGTATCCAAGAGGATAACAACAACCAACTAACTTTCACCTAGTAACTGTATTGTAGAGTTTTAAAAAGTTCAATTTTTTATTAACAAAGAAACAAGCAAATATTTTACTGTAGCTAAAGTCCCTTAAGTGTTTTATTTAGTGGTTTAAAATATGGAAAAATTAACTTCTTTTAGAGTTTTAAACATGAAGTTGAGCATCCTTCTTAGTTTTTATATTGCCGAATGATATCCATATCGACAATTATATTTATAGATATTCTATTTTTAACCGACTTCAAAAATGAGGTGGTTCTGATTTTTTATTATATTTACCACAAGGAGGTTGCGGCAAACGTAACATTGCTTAGCTATAAATGTTCCATTCGCGATAATAAATTCAGACTGCAAATGGGACATTCGTGTTGCACTTCTGACTAAGACAAGATATTTTCTTGCCTGTTGTTGAGGCATTAGTTATTAATGTTTCAAGTGAGGGAAACAGTGCCGGGCTTTGTAACAACGTCAGTTAACTTTTATATAAAATATTAAAAAGACATTTTGAATTCAGTGAAGTGCATATTAAAAATTTAAAATTCTATAAATAAGATGTTATTATGATTGGTATATAACAGTTGATCTTTTAACTTTTATTGGAGTACAACCATTTAGTACCAAACTTGTCTCATTAGTTATTATAAATAAGTTATCAATTCGTAACTTTTAGACATTATTAATTAGAATCCTTTGGCGCGAATTGCGCGCTTTCGTTACAAAGTCAAGTGTCAGAATGATTAGTGAGGGGACATAAATGTCGACATATTAGTAAGGCTAGTGTTGTACCAGTACACCGGCACAGTGTCGGATTTTTTTCCTAACATTACTAAGAATAATTCTAATTCTTATATATGTTATTTTTACATTTACAAAAAAAAATGTTAGAGAAATTATAGTATGTATGTTATGTGGAGACTAAGCTTTGTTAATATATTGAAACAATACGAGTATTTTTGAATGAACTTAATATATATGATATTTAACAAGATTTGATTAAAATTTACTTTCAATTGAGATGTTTTCGGTAACGAATTCTTTGTAACATATTCCTTTTTATTTTATAGACACGTACGATGATGGAGACCTTTCCATTGTAATCAAACAATACATAATGTTAGAGAAAGGACGTGTTGTTCTTAAATATATTTTATTAAAATAAAATAAGTATTTATTTTACATTTAAGGCAGACAATTACTTTTGTTTGGTATTTACGCCCACCGGTGAACAGTGGTTAATAGTAAAGAAGTTTATTAGTATACTTCTTTACTATTAACCGATATTAAATGATATTAGTATCATTAAGGGATGTGTATTGAGAATTGAATAAAATTATTATTCATTTTGTGGTTATCAGCCATATCTAAAAGTCATCATCATCATCATCAGCTCACTATAAGTCTCCACCGAGGGGCTCGGAGTCTACCCTAAGTTAGGGTGATTAGGCCATAGTCTTCACACATATCTTTGAATTTCTTTTCAGATATGTGCAGGTTGCATCACGATGTTTTCCTTCACCGTAAGAACGTCGGATGAATGTACATATGTAAATTGGAAATCAAAAAAGACATTATTACATGGCGGGATTCGAACCCAGGACTGGAGATTGCAAGTCAAGTGCTAGACCCCTGAGCCACCGACGCTCCTATCTAAAAGTACTTAACTGAAATGTGAATCCAAACCAAAGTAAATTTTACATATAAATTGTATTAAGTCTTAACAAAAACAAATTTTTATTAATTAATAAAAAATATTTATAATCTATAGGGCGTAGGCCTAAAGGGCATTGAATTATTTGGAGATTTTATAAAATTTAAATGTGAGTTCGAGTTATTTTAATTAATCGTTAGAGAGGTCATGTCAAATTTTTTCATTACTTTTGAGTTGGTTTTCAATGTCATTAATAGTTTATTTGCAAATATGAAGTTAGTTGTTTTTTTATCAAACCCAAATTAAACATGAATGATTTTATTAGATTGAATGCATGTACGCTTTAATATTTTCGTTCTGTTCGTCTGCATGTACCAGTTATGTTTTGATGTGAGTTTATAATATTTTTGAATCGATAAAAATGTAAAACCTTTGTTGTAGGATTTATTAAAAATGCCTGAACGTAGGCGGCGCAATGGTTACTTTCCACCACGATTCTGGAGGACATTCTTTTTTGCCTTGTATATTATGTTGTTGAGAACAAGATTGATGTAAGTATAATTGGAAATGAAACATTAATGAATTCATAAAATTATTTTATTTTCTCGATTGTGTTATTTAGTATAAAATGTTACACACATTGGTTTCGAACAGATTAATTACGCGGTGGAATAAGTAACGCAAACACGAGATTTACATTCACATATCATACCATATCCTATTTGAAATTTGTAAATTTTTCTAATATGTATTTTAGATGTGATATCAATAAAATGAGATGATGAGTTATTTCATTTATTTATCTTAAAGAGAAGTGAATAAATGCACTACTGTTTTACATTTTTATATAAATGAAGGTTAAAGGTATTAAAACAGCACAAAGAAATTGACGATGTTGTGAATTTTTCCAAAGGATTAGAAAATTATTAACGATCGCGTTAGAAGTTTGGTGTAATCCTAAATGTTTTAGAAAATAGAATTATCTAACAATTGTTTCTCCAGAGATGAGTAGATATTAATTATGATGATATAAGCAAAAACGTAATGAGATTGAATGTGGATGGCTACTAGATATGATGGCTAGGCAGAAGAACACCAAAAAATGACTATGGAATGGTATGTGTAAATTCAGATATGACGGCTGATAGAGATGTATGGAGAAGTAGTACATACTGTTCCGACCCTCTATAGGGATAAGGGCAGGTTGATGATGATGATATGAGAAGATATTAACAATTATTGTTGATGATTTTGTAGTTTAAATTTACGACAGTTCATGAAAACTAAACTAAAACGAAACGTTCCTCTGTCCTGATATTATTTAGTTGACGAAATTCCAGTTTTATGTTTTTCACACCAAAAATGTTGTATGCAAATTTTCCAACCTTTCATATTTCAGAAACAATAGTGTGTTGTTAGGCAAATTCGGGTTTGCATTTAAATTTTCGGACTCAAATGCCGACATGATTTACGATTCTAGTCATCTCAAATTGATTTGTTTGAAAATTTGATTGAATCAGAGTAACTCTATTATTGCTTTAACTCAGGAAATAAGTAATCATAGTCCTATTCTTAGTATAATGCCATGACAACAATGGCACATCGTAGCAGGATGTCGATTACAGCTCACTGACAATAATATGAGAAGTCAAGATATCCTTTGTTATGGTCAACGTTCATACAACGCATTGGACTCGGTCACTCAATAGCTGGATTTTTGTTGTGTTATCATACGAAAATAGCCTGTTATTTAAATGTATCGCTGTGTGCTTCACCACATTGGCTCGTTGCATGTCAGATATGTTTTCTACAAAGTTACTTACATATTAGTTTGACATTGAAGGTCAGTTTGACTGACCACAACATATCGTGACTAACATGTGTTAAAATAATCAATATAAATTGTTTTTTAAATATCGACGAGCATGCAATTTAGTTTATGACGTGTAACTTTATAATTTAAGAGGTTGTCAACACGTTTGAATAAAGTTGTATTTTGTAGGTTGCAAAAGTATTTGCCGCGTCTGGCTCCTCGCAACAACAATAACAACAACAATAACAATAACAATAATCCTAATGTTCAAAACAACAACCTCTAAGCCCCGCAGTATTTATCAAAACGCTTTTTATTCATCTATGTCATATGCTCATTGAAACCAAGTCAAAATATAGAAGAGAGCCTTAGGTAAGATCTAACACATGTCTAAAGCATGATATTTGTTAGTTGTAACATATTTTTAAGTTGAAATAGTTTGGCAGTTAAATATACCGAAATTATATTGCGAATTTCAAGAACAACACTAACAATTTGCAATTAGGCTTATTGTAGGGCACTTGATGATGTCCAAATGTTATAATTATTTGCACTAAAAGTTATATTTGCATAGAATGATTGTATTATTTTGTAGAATTTAGTCAATACCAACGCACTATGTCGCAGTAGATTTAATGTTGTCGAATAAAAATAAACCCGTGGAAATGATTTTAGCTCACAATGATAGTGAAAGTATTTATAAATTAATATTTAATTTTGTTAATGTATGTTTAAAATTCAGAAAAGTTCGAATAATGTTTTGTTTCGTTTGTAATAATATATCATTATCATGTTATTCAATATATCCATTAAAAATCAATAATGACATTTCTTCACGGTTGCAAAGTAAAGTAGATATAAAATTCCAAGATGCATATTGTCAATGTATCACTCTGTTGCATTCAAATTTATTTAGAAAAATGATTTTATTGTCTGCAAATAAACTAGACAAAGACATTATTTCTATTTATTACTTAAACTATGCTATAGATAAGACGGTATACAATTAAATTTCAAACTATCTAGTCTGTATTTGTTATCATATAGCTTAACCTTCTTCCTATGTGTTGTGTCACGCTGTATTCCTATATCTTAATTTGTTTTTTTATGTTTTTTAGTTTTTCAAATTGTCACTTCTTTTCAGAACACACTAATAAATTAATCTCTTATTTATATATTACACGTATACCTTGAGACAATCTGATATTGTACCGTTATCTGTTTTGTAAAACACATTTCCGATAAATTTCAATCGCGTATTATTGCAGGAAATCCCAGTTGTTATTTAATTATGACAAGAAAGCACTAATCGTGGGTTTCTGATACCAAAATCTCTGTAATACATATCATCATTCCTGTCATTATCTTTAACAACACAGATATATTAATGTTTTGAACTCAGAAATCCACGGTGAGCATGTTAAATGTATATATGTTGAAACGTATATTTTAAGTATAATAAATTGTTCAATAGTTTTTATACATAAATTGTTTACGCATTATGTCATCAGGTTTCGAAGTACATAGTATAAATAAAATTTATGGTATTTATCGCAGTACGAAGAATATGGCCAAGGTCAAATCGTTAACTGTTCCTTTGAGGGATTTATTCGAACTCTTAATAGCTATTAAACAATTATAATTTCTAAAGATTCTTATAATCATCCCTTTTTGCTTAAATGTAATATTCTTTTGTTTGATTTTGTAACGACGAAGATCGAATACTACGAATCAAAATATTAAATTAACATTTATCCATGATATTTGTCTTTTTATTACGATTTTACTTTTGAAGTATTGTACCAAAACATATTCTACATGAGTAAAATAGATGCAGTAAAAAAAGGTCAAAGTAAATGACTTGCTTAGTCCTTCCCGGGATTTTTTTAATAGCATTGTTATTTACCGTTCCTTACTAATTTCTTTGACTTTTTCTTACTAATATATTTACAAAAATTATATACAGTTACATATATTATTCTTTTTTTGTATATACAGCGGTGTTCATAACTATTTTGCTACAAATATAGTGGTAGCGCGAAAAATTCATATGTACATAGTCAAAAGTAACTTAATATTACGTATGATGTAATTTCGACTCATGATTAGAAACCTATTTGATTATTGTAAACAGTGCACTCTTGGGAAATTTAAGCTAATTTAAAATAATGTTGATTTAAGACAAAATTAAACTATTAAAAATTTATTTTTTCTTTAATTAAATGGCTATAAGGCTTTTTACCGATGACAGGTACCATTTGATTTTTTTTTCAATCGTCCTTTGTAATTGCTACATACTTATTGAGCAAATTGTAATTCTGAAATTTTACAAACTACGACTTTACAACACGTCAGTGTTGCCACTGAAACGAATGAGTGGATAACAGTTAATTAATACGTTTTTTAGCATTTCAACGCTCGAACGCTCACTTTAAAAGTTTAGACTTAAAGAAATCTTACCTTGTTTTCTTCTTAATTTTTTTTTAATTCACTGTCGCTAACGTGCCTACAAAAATTATATGGGATAGGTAAATCTTAATAGTCCGTTTTTTAATATTATTTATTGAACTTTAAACCTTCATGGTCGTCGCCAATCTGACATATTGTTTCAAAATTGCCATAAAAGAGGCCGATTGTTGCCATTAAAAGAAAAAAAAAATGTCCCACATATATGTAATATTTCATCAAACGTACGTACTGCTTTCAGTAGTTTGTTGTAAAAGGATTAGGTGCTGTGTAGTAACAGATTTTCTACACGTGGTAACTTTGTTTCTAACATTTTAACTCCTAATCCATTGTCTGAGTTTAGGGATTTGTGCATTTTCTTGGATTAAATAATGCGGTTTAATTAACATGAATTTAAATCTACGTAATGAGACGGCAAATGCTTTTAGCAAAAGAAATATTGGTTTGAAGTCAAATAAAATTAACTGTTGTTTTATAATCCGCGTTTCGTCTGAAAAATTCTTTCAATTGAGTGATGAGATTTTCACTGATCGACGCATAACTTTCTCTAGATGGGCATAGACTTATTGTAATTTACTTGAGCCTTCCTATACTTATATGAAATAAAAAAAAATGATTTACTTAGAATAAGGTTTTATGGTCTATTAGCAGTCACCCGGTTTTCGTTAGCGCAGAAAAAAGTAGCTTATAATATGCCCGCATGGACCAGCTATCTTCCTGTGAAATTCACAAAGTTGCAAAAAAATTGGTTTTTCGTTATCAGCTACGCAAATACATCATGTGTAGCAAATATGTGTTTTTTAATATTACATACAACCACAACTATTTTATTAATATGTATAGATATAATTTACAGTAAGAAAATAAAAACAAATGTAAAGAATACTAAAATTATCTATAGTGTAGTCAATAATATGGATTTAATTTTGTTACAGTTTCACCATGACCCATGGGCCACTTTTTTCGCGCGCTTTTGGGAGTCTAACGTCGAATCCTCGAAAGCGATTCACGACCCTCTTCGTTACGATAAGCATAATCTTCTTCATCGTTTTCATCAGCAGCGGCGACCGTAAGTATAACCCTTTTTATTAATACTGAGTTCCAAACTTTCTGTCTTATAATTACGAAAAGTACTGCAGTTGTTTGCACCATGTCACTACTAAACGTTCTAACCTTTATTTTTATCCACCCTTACGAAGTCGTAGGAAACAGCTTGTTATATGCTTGGAATTCGTACTTGCACGCAATCTTACATCTTACTAATATTATAAAAGCGAATGTTTGGATGTATGGATGGATGGATGGATGGATTTTTGGTAGAAGGTATCTCCAGAATGGGTGCATTGATCTTGCTCAAATTTGGAATAGGTATAGAGCCATAGGCAACTAATTATGTTTTTTTTTAATTCCCCGCGGACGAAGTCACAGTCGATAGGTAGTGTAATGTACGATTTTATAGTATTGTTTGTACAGGTGTAAATATCTTCCGCTGTTTTCATTTCAATAACGATATTACAAAGGTAATATTACTAATATATTCTTATTTACTCAATGTATACAAATTTATAAAATAGCATAATAAATATTTCATAATTTAGACAAGTTTTAACTGTAAAAATAATTAAAGCAATTCTTGGAAAGCGATAATTGGTAACTTTGTTACCACAGGCACGTCTCTAAACACGCGATCTAACGTTTGTTAGTCCAGTGAATTAGGTATATGCGCCTTAATATTGTTTATTTTTTTTAATAAAATGAACATACACTTAATTAATTAATTTTTATGTTTAAATCGACGATATAATTTTTTAAGAAACTTACGGAAAAATAGAAAAAAAAATGTTATAAATTGGCTACGAAGCCAGTCATTCAAAAGGTTAAAATGACAGGTTTTAAGATTACGTAACTTTTAAACTTGAATACATTCATCTGTAATGACAGGGATATCAATGGCATCAAATAACTATTTAATATAAACGAAGTAATTCATTATTGTACGTAGTATTAATTCTATTTCTTGTTGTAAATTAAAAATTGAAAAGTAATTCCCCGTTGGTATTCACCTTTGCATTATAGAACGTTGTTGCATAGTAAATGTAGCCCTTGTGCACCGTCAAGCATAACCAGTGTTAGAACCGTGATGTGTCTGGAAACAGGCTACAAGTTTTATAAACTCTTTGAATAAAATATGGAATGCATGAATGACACGGTTCGAAGAATACTTCCATTTGAATTCATTTCTGAGATTCAATTTTATTTCCGATGTTCGAATATGTGTGAATGTTTGAAATAGTAAAGTACTGATACATCAGTTGGAATGTCGCGTACAAGAGTACACTCCAGTTCCCGAAGTGACAAATCAAATACTAGGCATTAAAGTTCCCATTCGTAAACACAAACCAGTTAATATAAGTACAGTTTTCATTTTCGAAGCATTTCTATTTCATTAAATTTATATTCGAATTTTGTAGTTTTAGGTTCAATTTATTTAAATTAAGTGTTAAAAATAATCTCTTCGAATATTGCCTTCCGAAGTTCACGTTCATATTTTGTAGGTAACTGGCAGTTGCATACTATTAATACAGACGAGCAACAAGCCTATTTTAGAACTTTAATGAAGATTGAAAATATATTTCTAGGAAGCAATCAACTTCATTGCATTGAAATGATATTGCGCAGAGTAGTAGATGTTCCGATTATATCGTAATTGAATGTTACTAAAAGTATTTATACATCAAAGAGCAATTGCAAATGAAATATTATTACTTCAAAGAATCGTTAATAAGTTCTTCACAGGAAATATATTTAATTTGTGTTATAGTATTCTCGTTATCACTATATTATTGCAAATATTAATTAATATTTGTTCGTATTTCAAAGAGTTAATAACAGTGGTATGATAATTTGTTAATGACCTTTATCTATTCAACTAATGACTTCACGTTGGGCTCTTTAGTAAAGCAATTTGGACTCGTTAGAACCATGTTATGAGACACGCAATGACTCTGTATGATACCGTCTTAAGTATTTTATACCTTTAACATTAAATTGATTTGTTATTGAAAACAAATAAATTATACGCGATAATCTGCAATTTATTAATTCTGCGTATTAAGAAGGATATTATTATTTTAATATAGATAAGAACTTTATTATAAACTATCTGTCGCCCGCGACTCCGTCTGCGTGGATATATTATATAAAAACTTAATTAGCGTAGCCCACCCATCCATCTATCCATATCACATCCATCTAAACATTCGCATTTATAATATTAGTAAGTTAAATAAAAAGCAGCTCTTCAAGTCATAAATTCGAAAAAGGACATAGGAGGAGGAGAGAATATCTAAGCTACCTTCTCTTCAATTTTCAGTCATGTCAGTAAAGACGTTCTTGAGTTATAAATAGTGTAACTGACACGACTTTCTTTTATATAGATATAGATATCCATTTGTATATTCCGATGATAAATAAAAAATCATTTCGACTTTAGTCTAATCATCAAACGAAGTAATCTGAGTATTATAATTATTATTGTTATGTAAGTTTACTAGTATTTCTTGTACCATTCCAACTAAGCTCTGTGCTTGTGTTAGGACACAGTTTACGACATTAATCGGAGGGCGGGACTCGAACCCCCGACCTCGTGATCGGGAATCCGTAACCTTAACCAAATAAATTAATATTATTAATAAAGATATTAGTCAAATATTTCAATAATACTTATTTCAGCATGAAATATCAAAAGATGTATCAATAAAGTTAAATTAATGTCGTGGGTAATTAATACTCCTATTAAAAATAGATTAAATTTAATATAATAAGATTTGCACAGAGCGATAATAAAATAATAATAATATGATTTTGGTACAAGTAAAAAATCCTAATTAAGTATCGCTTCTAACTTATAATAGTAAAAAAAATATTACTGTAACTATTTCTAAAATGTTATTTTCATAATATTATATAATATTTGTTATGTTCCTAGAATTATTCAATTTTGTGCATATACATACATATAGGGTTAACGAACGATAATAACATGGGTTTAGCCATGTAATTTACATAGAAACACATACGTATATATAATACTATGTTCTGCGGCTTGCTTGGTAATGACAGATGACATCGTCAATATGCACGTAATTTCATGCTAATAGAGGTACACAAAGCTTACCATAATTGAAATTATCAGATCGAGATTCGGTCAAATTCATTCAGTACTAATTTGAAATCAATTATTGTTAGTTTATCGATCATGTTAACGTGAAAGTAAACATGGTCCCGAATACGACCCTAACCTTTTGGTCGCTTTTGATTAAACTCACATATTTTCATTACTGCTTGTTCAATTCGCTAAGAAAACATAGGTTATAGCCACTATTTGCTTGCTTTGATTGAATGTTTTATTAACTTGTTATTGATAGACAAAAAAATACAGCCGTCCTGTTAAGGTTTTAACTATTTTTTGCGTATTAATAATTCGTCCAGAAAAATTAAGAAGTCTTACTCAGATTTGTAAAATTATGTAAATGCTATTTATTTCGTAACTTTAGTTCTGTTTAAATATTAACTCTTATGTTCATTTTGTATAGTATACCATACATATAACTTTACAAAAATATACGATCACTATAAAATAATTTTTAACTTTGTTTTTTGCTTTTCTTCAAAAAAGAAATCTTGCCATAATAAGGGTTAATAAATGTCATACTACACTACACTATAATATCTTTAAATTTAATGTATGTCCACATCAACGTATCACAGCTGCCACTTGCATTGTTCAAATTATTGGAAACTGTTATTGCTTCTTGGGAATTCAGGAGCAATGTGATTCGAAATGTACATTCAAGCAAAATCATAATTGTAGTATTCGAACTAGACTAATTCATAGTACGATATTCACTACAGAAAATGACATTCATGTAGTGTCTTGTTTCGCCACTACCAACCTGCACTTGTAACAATGATTTTAATACATTCGGAGATGGCATTTATTATATAATAATAAAATCACTAAAAAAATACATAATTAGTAGTCTATGTGTTCTTCCAGTACCGTTCATTCGCATTTATAATATTAGTAAGATGTAACTTGTACTCTACATCAAACAAAGCGGACTGAGAACTTTAGTAACTTTCCTTATGTCTATAAAAAACTTCTACGCTTTATTTATCATTTGAGTACAAACAATTTTCAATAAAAAAATTTGTCGAGTATATTATGGCTCTTATAATACAGCCAGGTAGCTCTCAACTCAACGTGAAGTTGGGAGCATCGAAGCGGTCATTTGTAAATCACATTAGCGACTAACCGACAACAAAGGCCGAACGAACCTAACTTGCCTCAACTTGCCGAAGTATGTAGCCGTTAACTGTAGTATAAACGTACATATATTTTGAGTTAATATATTTAAATTATTGTATCAATAACAATAATCTTTGAGGATTGAATTTCCCTTAGCAATATTTTACACTATTTATAATAATAATTTTGTGAATTAATAAAAAACTTCGGTAACAAAGGTATAGTTAATGCTGTTCGATAGACCGTTTAAGTTATATTCGAAACTTATAAAATTATAGGCTCTGTTAAATAATTTGCCGCTACAACCAAGTCGTATTTTAAATTTTATATGAGTTGTAAACGTTACACACGTTTTAACAGATACTGAAGTTGTGGGAAATTGTTGTTTTATACCAAATGACTTAAAAAAATTCTTTACTTTTATTAGTTATGTAAGTTTGTAGAGATCTACCAATCATTAAAAAGTTTTGATACGTTTCTGATAATATTTCTAATTAACGTATTTATTGTTTGTCATTTTGTATTTTATTTATTTTCACCACAAATAGTACAATAGCAACACGCCATATCCGAGTCGGAAAGTCGACTTTGTGATGGTCAGAAACTTTTGTACACTTGACGTGTCGTTGAAATCTCTGATGACACTTTTCGACTTTATTTGTAGATTCCCAATATCCTAACTTAGTGCAATCGTGTCTGAAACGATCGTTTGCATTTGAATTTCATTCGTTTATTGGAATTGGTCTGATGAATTTGTA